GCTTGAATAATTTTAATCTGCAGCCCTCTTCCTCCTCTCTTTGGACACTTCCCTTAGACATGTGTTAGGCTGCTCAAAGATGTTGCACAGTTCACCAATGCTCTGTTTTTGTCACTATTTTTTTCTCTTTTACTCAGTTTCATTCCTTCATTGTTTCTACTGCTATGCATCCAAGTTTCAATTCTATCCAGTGCAATTTTTCTCTCAGACATTGTAGGCTTCATCTTTTGATGTTTTTACACACACACACATGCACACATACGCACACACACTTACTTTTCTCATCTCTGAGACAAAATGTCCAACATCTAAAGTTGAAGAAGGAGGGATTTATTTTGGCTCACAGTTTGTTGCAGTTTCAATCCAATCCATAATTGGCTGGCTCCAAGGCAGGGCAGAATGGCAGAGGGCCCAGGAGATAGTAGCAGCCAACCAGCAGAAGAAGCAGCAGCAAGAAATGGCAGCAGCCCTCCTCTGTCCCTTATATTCTATCCAGGCTAGCCACCCTTAGGCAGGTAACACTCACACCAGGGTAGGGTACCCTTAATCAAAGCAGTGCACTGTTAATCCCAGCATCACACACCCTAGATCCAGCCACCTCTGAAAAGCCCCACCTATTACCACATGAGTGAGGCTTTGCGGGGACATCTAGATACAAGCCACCACACACACACACACGCAGCTGAGCACTCAGCAATACTCATGTGGAAGCTTCTGATTATTTAGCTTTCTACTTTCTGGCCCTTTGCCCTTGAACTCTAACTGGACTGGACTTCCAAGACTTTCATCTCTGTCTTCTCAGGTAAAGGCTCTACTGACTTTATTCTCTGTCTGCCTTTCCTGTGCTATGGACTGGAAACTCTCCAGGCATGGGGGGAAATCACTGGGCTGACCTTGTTTTTGTCTTGTCTTTCAGGGATCACTGTCTTTTATTGCCTGTTATTCTTTTTCTTGTATTGTTTCTATATTTTGCCTTATTAATTATCTCAGGTGGTAGCAGAAGTCTAGTCCTTATTATTCTTCTTCCCTTTGCCCTGGAGTGAAAGTTCAAATCACTTTTTATTTATTTTGAGACAAGGTTGTTTGGGGAATATGGCAAAACTATGTGAAATAATGAAATTCAATCTGTGGTTAAAAATTTATCTCTGGAGTAGAAGATTGGACAGTGTAAAGTAATACCACCCATTGTGGAAAATTTTTATAAAATATAAATAAATATTTAACACACACAAACATATTTGTAAGAGTATGTAGTTGGAATAACAGCCTTTAATTCCTTACCTCACCTCACCAGTGGTACCCCATCTCTTTACAATGTGATAGACAGGTTTCACCACCAAGAGGTAGAATATGTTTCCATAACCCTTCAGAGAAGACTAATCTCATTTTCTTGACTAACAGGATAGTCAGAGATGATGCTAGGGCTAATTCTTTAGCTACACCTCAAGAAGCCTTGTACAATTCTCTCTCTCTCTCTCTCTCTCTCTCTCTCTCTCTCTCTCCTTCTTCTGCACTATAGAGTGCAAGGCTGGACTAGGTTGATGAAATTTCAGAATTCAGTTGGAGAAGAATGCAGCAACTAACACTGAGGACTAACAAGTGCAGTGAGCCCTCACTAGACTCCAACTGATTATAGACACATGGTCAGCTGACCCTTTCAAATAAACAGACATACTCAAGTTTACCCATGGAATTGTGAACTAGTTGATGATGTTTGTTTTAAACCACTATGATTTGGGGTGGTTTGTTATGCTTCAATAGCTAAATGATACTGTATATTTACAATCAGGTACATATATGTGCCAGACTTCAATCAACATTATCCATCATTAAATATGTCTGTCCAGGGAAATAGTGTCCCATAGCCACACTAACCCTTTCTGTTAAATTTTAAGTCTTTAACACACTGGTTAAGGGCCAGAGATGTAGCTCAGTGGCACTGCACCTGCCTGGCAAGTGCAAGGTCCTGAGTTCAATCCCTGGTACCTGGTATTTATTTAATAAATAAATAAATAAATAAAATTTTAAAAGTACTAATAATACACTGGTTAAATTGCACCATCTTAAGTAAATTTTTTAAAGAAATGTAAAATTGACATTAGCAGGCCGGGGATTTAGCTCAGTGGTTTTGCCGCCTGCTGCGCAAGTGCAAGGACCCGAGTTCGATCCCCAATACTTCCCCCCCAAAATTGACATTAGCAACACAAATTAATGTCCTTTTAAAGTAATATGTAGGGATTTGTGCATGATTTACTACAATCCATATTATGGATAGAATTCACTTAAGAACAAATTGGATATATGAGGCTTTTGAAAGTTTTAAAGTTACTTAAACAATTTCATCATAAGTATAATTTCTTTGCTTTTTAGAAAATTTAAATTCAGTGTTTGTTATAAATGCTTCATTTTAAGAAGATATAAAATTCAATTTGTACAAATTGCTTGGCAATATTTCTATTAAAAAGTGTCAAGTGTGACAGAACATATTGTATTGTGGGTTGCACACCTGGGAATCTGGTAGGTTTTTTGCAAAAAGATTGGTTCATCAAAGGTTTTAGTGAGGGTTACATAAAATAATTTTTGTAAGATAATTCTATGCCTAATAAATTTATCTTGCCTTTTCAGAATATAAGAGGAAAAGAAAGCATTTGTTTATATTTGCTTGGATATTTTTAAATTTTCTGAAAGAATAATAACTAACCTTCAGGGATAATTGGTTAGGAGGTACACAAGGGATTGGAATATTATAGATCTTGATCTAGGGGAAATTACCAAGATGCATATGTAAGCAGTCATTGAGATTTGAGATACATGGACTTGACGTTATCTGTTATTCTCAAAAAAATTTTTTTAAAGAGTAGAGTCATGAAAATAGGGTATGTTGACCCTGTAAATGGATCAACAAAAATATGGTATTACAAGTGTAGCATTCTTAATCTGAAAATCTGAAATTCAGCATGATCCAAAATCTAAAACTTTTTAAGAAAAAAATTCCCTTCCATTAAACTTTGTTTAGGCATTAAATTATTAAAATACTCTGTGAAATTACTTTCAGGTCATGTGTACAAGGTGCATATAAAACATAAGTAAATTTTAGGTTTAGATCTGTCTCATTCCCAAGATATTTTATTATATATAAGCAATATTTCCAGATCTGAAAAAAAATCTAAGACACTTCTTGTCCCAAGGACTTCAGATAAGGATGTTCAACAGTACAGTGATGGTGAACCTCTTAGAGCTTTCAGTCATAACAAACAGTCTGCTGCAGCACATGTGCCATAATAACAAGTGAAAGAACAAGGTGTGGCAAATCTTATCTTCTTATCTTTAGTAAGACTAATAAACATAACAGCTGATGTTATGAATAAATTTATTCTCAATAGGAATAATTTAGTAGAACTGAGGATTCAAGAATTATTGCCTCATGTTTGAAGTGGACATGAAAGGGGGCCATTATGTTTTCCAACTAAATATATCATTGCCACAGTCAGGGAGGACCTATCACAGGATCCAGAAAACCATATCCCACTGGCCAAATCTAAGATGCCATATGTTTTAAAAAAGACTTTATTGTAACACTGCCAAACTATTCATTTAATATTGTCTTTAGTTACTTTCACACTAGAAATGTCATGTTGAGTGATTGTGACAGTGAACCACACGACAAAGAAAACTTAAAATGTCTATTACATAGTTCTTTGTTGAGAACGTTTGTCGACCTCTGATCTATAAGAACGATCACCTAAAATTATTATTGTGTATAAGTGTGTGTGTGTGTGTGCGTGTGTGTAGTAAGATGCAGAGAATTATGCCTGTATGTATGATGTACATATATAGCAATGGGGGGTTCTGCCTCATAAATACCTTTGCATTCTTTCTTACAGCAGTTCTGTGATATAAATGTTAGTTTCCCCCTGTCTCAGTAGTGTAAACAATTGTATACCAGAAAAAATGTAGACAACCATCATGTCTAAAAAGTGACTAAACCTGAACATGAACTCACATCTTCCTTACCCCAACTTTTTTTCCTTGAAGATTCAAATTCGTATTTGCACTTTGTAGTCTTAGACCTAGAGTGAGGTAAATGTGGATGATCTGCTTTAGTGTCCACAAGGGCTACATGTCAGAAAGGGGCAGCAGATGGGCCTGTGAATATCAGGCACAGAGAAATACACCCCAGGTAAGCCTCTTTGCTCATCACACCATCCATCCGGCTTGGGTTCTCCTGAAGGGAATTGATGTTTTTTATCAATCATCCTGGTAATGAATTGTCCACATGAACCCTTTTACTCTTCTTTCCTCTGTGTGTAAAATCCATAAGAAATAAAACCAAGATCTCTTCTAATCATAAGTTCATTCAGAGATTGATCCATATTGGAGCCTTTTGTTTTTGCTTTGTGTAAACTCCTTTTCTATATACAAGTTGATAGTTTTGTAAGTATTTCCAGACTTTTCAGGCAAAATTAAAGGCAGCTTGAATGATGTCACTGACCATGAGATTGTCGAAAGCATCAGATAAAAGTTGATTAGTTTCATAAAATACCACCCTAGACAAGACTCTTTAAGGGATAGAAAGGCAGACAGAACTTTAGAGACTCCTAGGACCTCTACTACCCATAGAATTTGCTTGGCCTTCTGAAGATAACTGAAAGAATGAGAACACACAAAATGCTGTTGGACCAGTGCATGGCTCTGTACATGATTGAGACAGAGTAACCGTTCATTACTTCAACAGCCCTGCAGTTTATCATTTTCTAGATAAAAGACACAACACACAGGTGTTTAGTTTTTTGAAACACTGATGATCTGCGGCCTAATTTCACCAATTCAGAGTCTAATTAAATAAGTTCCATTCACAGGAAAGAGCCAAGCCCTTCAACCAGTGTGTGCTGAACTCAGTCCCTGGAAAGAAGGGGTTAATTTTGCAAACTCATGAAAATTTGCAAACAAATGACCATAATCTTGGTTGCTTAAAATAACAGATATTTACTCTCTCACAGTTCTGAAGGTCAGAAGTGTGAGACCAAGGAATCTGCAGGCCTGAGACTGCAAGGGTGAGTTCACTCCTTCCATTCTAGCAGCTTGTGGTGGTTGTTAAGTTGCGGGTTTCAAGAAACAGAATGTAGACATATCCTTTTGGGGTCCTACTACAAAGATTCAGCCCATTATAAAGATTTTATACAAGCATATACAAGAATATTTCTTTCTCTAAAACCAAAGTATTTTATTTCACTATTTAGTTATTTACTCTAGAACTTGGAGAGGTCCTGGTGGCTGGGAACACTGAGGCATTAGATGAGGGTCTACTTGTATTGTTGCTAAATAGCCTCCGAGTTCTGCTCCTCTCCCATTCTATTGAAACTTCAAGAAAACCTAGTGAAAAGTTACAGCCTGGCTGTGCATTCTGAGGAAACAGGATAGAGCCTGTGCTCACACATGGGCCAAAAAGTCATGGGGTAGACTGTGTCTCACACTTCTAGAGTTGATGACAAACAGCAGAAGTGGCTGATGTTCAAGCATAGAAATTATTCTCTGAGGAATTATGGATAAGAAGAGAAAGAAACACAAGGAGAGCAGGGTGTGGGAATATGACCCTATTGAGGGTCCCTGCTGCAATGTCATGGAAAAGTGCAAAGAGTTGGGGGTTTTTGACCTGGGGATGGGAAGAAGTCACTTCCGAGCAGGATCCCACCAGGATGTTGGATTGAGGCTCTGATAGTTCCTATGCCCTTATTCATACACCACTGCATCATGGTCTATAAAGTATTATAAATAATAACTGCTATTTGGGAGAGAGACGATGATTTCCTATACAAGAGAAATTTTACCTTTAGTTCACTTTAGTTCAACTAAAATATGTTGCATATATAAAAATATTAATACTATTGCCAGAGAGTGGAGGGTTATGGTTGGAAATGATACAGCTTAATTTTTTACTTAGTTATGTAATTTTGTGTGTCACTTGAACCACTAGACATATTCTATTTCCTTTATAGAAAAAGCACTATAATTTCATAATCAAGAGCAGTAGGTTTAGAGAACAAATCAGCAAATCAGCAAATCATGCTGCCCATTAATCCAGACCCACTGTGGGGATGTCAAATGCAAAAATTGAACTTCAATGCTGCCAGGAAATTGAAACAGAAAGAAGCCAAAGTCCTTTTGTAAAATTTAGGAAAGATGAAAAGGCAACTCGAATGCAGAATTCACCCTGGTGAATAATTTGGCAAGACATATGGTTTCTTCTAGGCCCAGAATCTACAGGCAGATTAAATGGAATAGGCATGAAATGGACAGGACTCTAATGTAAAGCATGAGACAAACATAACCGTGATATTATTTTTTAGGTTTATGTGTCATAATGGAAGAAATAGTGATTCAAGTTGGGAACAGGATATGTCAATGTTTTTCATCTCCAAAATGTCACCAGCAGTTAGGAAATAATTTCAGCCACAGCTCTCATGGACACAATTCATATTGTCAACGAGGGAAGGAGAATATGGAAATCTGTTTCATATTGTAAATCTCTGATGCTGAGTTAATCCAGGAATATAAGAATTCTAAAATAGGTACCTATATTAGTGTCCAACTCAGTGGGTGTCATGTTATAAAAATTGCCAGGGAATATCATTTTTATTTGGAGGGTATTGTGACTGAGAGGTACCTTGTGTGTTCTGTATACTGAAAATTATCCTTCCATACCACTTCCTGGTAGAGTTCATGCAAACATTATTTGCCACTCTAAGTAAGAGTGATATTAGCAGAAAAGAGTCTGACAAAGGTGTTATTTATTAATCAGCCATCTTGTGCCAGCCATGTACTAAGTACTTTTGGTTCTGATATTTAATTTATTCATCAGCAATTAGAGTTAATTACTGCATGTTTTATAGATAAGATAAAGAGAAGATAGATTAAAAACTTGGACCAGGACAGATAAATAATAAATATAGAAGCATGATTTTAATGCCAGTCTTTCTGATTTTATTGATCCTTTAAATAGCATGATGCTATCTATAAAATAAATACAACACTTACTACTTACAAAAGTAAAATTTTAGTTTAATATATTTTATATTTATTTGTAAAGTGTCTGCAAACTTCTCAAGTTAGTAGAAGTGTGAGGGGATCCTTATTTAAAAATTTTATCATGTGTGTATAAAATATGCATGATAAAGCTCAGACAAAATAGAAATATAAAAATTGAGAAAAATGTATGATTATTTTCAACAATTGTTTTCTATGCTGTTTTACTATGCATTACTATTGTCATTATTATATATCATTTACTTTATGAATAATATAATCATATGAATATTTTTGCTGACAATAATGAGATTGAATATACCTCATAATTTTTGCTGAGTCATATGGTAAATATATGCTTAATTATATAAACAACTGCCAGTACCTGAAGTAGAGGAACTATGTTAATTGTCCACCAGTAATGTATGAAGTGTTAGAAAAAATATGGTGGATATTTAAACTTTAAAGAAAATATTAGAATAAAAGACACACTGCCATTAATTCCACTCAAAAAGGCTTTCCCCTAGCTTTGAACACAATTTATCCCATCATTCTTTCCACTTTCAGAAGCAGTTCTGCAAATCCTCATTCCTTAGTGTCTTTAGTTCCACTGCTGCAGCTGCCTCCATATCCAGATCAATTAAAAACATGTATCTTTCAAGGTAATTTTGACTTGGGGGAAGAGCCAGAAGTTGCACTGTGCCAGGTTTGGTGATGAATAAGGTGGATGAGGACACACAATAATCTTTTTATGAGCCTGCTTTTCCATTGAATATCACTTGCATACTTCATAAGGACACTCATGAAAGAGGACTTCTAGACTTGCTTCAGAAATTAGCAAGAATGATGGGGTAACCATGTTCAATGTGACTAAAAGTATTTTGAGGGGAATTAATGGCACTGTGTCTTATTGTAATGAATTTTAATATTTAAACATTAATGGCTTATTTCAAGCATACCTCATATGAGAGACCCAGTTTCTCTATATAGCCACTAACATTAGAAATTGTCACTGAAATAGTTTTAGGCAATCTGATGGATGTGTAATGCTAGGTATTGCAACATGGCTTTAATTTGCATTTCCACAATGTCTAGTAAATTTAGGCTCTGTTTCATATGTTTAATGGTCTTATGGATAGCATTTTTGTGAAATAACCATACAGGAATTTTGTTCATTTTTGTATTGGCTTTTTACGCTTTCTTGTTGATCTATTATAATATTTATATCTTCTAAATAAAAATTCTTTATTAATACAAGTTATTTGTTTTGCAAATATCTGTAGCCACTTTCTTGCTTATTTTTCATTTTCTTGCTTATTTGATAATATCAGTTTTCAATTTTAATTAATTCCCTTTCATCTTTATGTTTTGGGATGTAAGGATTAAACCCAGGGCCTTGCCTGCGTACTTTATCACTGAGCTACACTCCCAGTCTATCCATCTATTTTGTTGTGGTCAGTGCTCCTTATTTAAGAAATCACTTCCTACTCCAGTTACGTGAGTCCATTCTCTTACATTATGTCTACAAGCTTTATTATTTTACCATTTATATGATCACCCAGAATTGATTTTTCTGTAGATGATGATAGGGAACCATCTATATTTTTCCATATAGATATTTAATTGACTCAGTGCCAGTAATCGAAAGCAAAACATTTTTTACCTTCTACTCTAGAGTGTCACTTTTGTCATAAATCAAACAACAGTTTGCCATGAATGGATCTATTTTTGAATCCTAAATTCTATTGCTTCCATCTGTTTCTGTGTTCTTCAGACCATCCTACTCTGACTTGCTGATGTTTCCTCTTGGTAAAAGGTAGCATAAGTCTTCATATCCAGAAGGTTTATCTTTCAGATTGCTTTGTTTACTCTTAGCACTAATCACTTGCTCTAGTCTTACATAAATTTTAGTATGAGCTTAATTTTCACAAAAATCTGGCAGTTCTAAAGAGATTTCACAGAATCTGTAGATTAATCTGAATAGTACTGTATTAACATATCAAAATATGTTGAGTCTTTTCAAAATAAGAAAATAGCATTTATTTTTTTAAAAATTTCCTTAGTTTCTTCAGATTTTTTCCCACAAAAAAGTTTTGAAAATCTTTTGATTTTTAATAGATATTTGCCTTTTATGCTGGTGCAAATTATATTTGGTTTTGGGGTTTTTTTTTTGCTTTTTTGTTTGTTTTTGAGATCAGTCTTTCTGTGTTGCTCAGGCTACTTACAAGCTCCTGGGTTCAAATGATTGTAACTTCCACCACCCTGGTAGCTGGAGCTATAGGTGCCCAGCTATTACCAATGAAACCCTTTCTAAAAAAAGAAAACAGCTTAAATGGCAGTGTTTATGAAGGATTTGGTTAAAAAAAAAACTAAAAATACCTCTACTTTTGAATCGTAATAACAAAAAGGATAAATTAAAGAAATAAAATCTTAAACACACCAAGGATATGAATGGTGTTTAAAGTACCAATCTTAGGATCTCCACAAAGAGAGAAAAAAACAAATGTAGCAGAAATTATTCAGGTTCTTCAATGTCTAAGTGAAAAAATTAATTAAAATCAGTTTGTAATTGTTTCTTAATAGAATATAGAATTGAAATGGTTCTATTCCCTAAATTGATATAGCATTTAGTGACCTTCTAATAGGCTCTTGTTAACACAGTTTAATGGTAGATTATTTTGATTTTCTAAATACACATCCATTTATTCTGCAAATAATGATAATTTAATTTCTTCTTTCTGATTGTGTTATCTTTTCACAGAGAAACTCTTTTGTACTGCACAGACAATGCCTCCAGTACAATGATGATCAGAAGTTATGATCACAGGTATCTTTCCTAATATCACAGGGAAAGCTCTGTTAGACACTAATAGGTTAAAATGTTCTTTTTTATTCCTAGTTAGCTAGGAGTTTCATTTTATGAATATTGAGTTTTGTCAAATGCTTCCTCAGCATCTTCTGAGATACTTTATCTTTTATTCTTTTCCTGTGGTGAACTATATTGATTCAGCTTTGAACATGTACCACCAAT